CAATCGTCTTTAGTAAACGTCTCTTTTCTCTGTCTAGATGAGATTCCACTATCGAAAAAGATTTCTCATATCTTACTGTCGCATTCATATCAAAACAAGTGCATTTAATCTTAAAAGTGATTTTAAAACGAAAAAAAAATGGAAGTCGTAGTATGGCAACGGTTGTAAGAGCCACGCAATAATCCGTTGCCTTCGGACCTCCATTCTCTGTTAGATTAGACCGTACTCATATCGTGAAATTTGTTGATATTGCGCATGAACGTAGCAATATAAGAGAAAAATTACATGTGTTGAAAAGAAGAATGTTGGATCGAGTCTAGACGACTGTATCCATAGGCCCAATATGAGTGAGAACAGAGCACAATAAATACTAGATGCTTTCATGAGAAGTCAAACATAAAATATACAGATCTTCAATTTTTTGACATATCATGTCTTGCATATATATGTTGCAGATTTTGTAAAAAAAAAGGATTTTCTATGTTTATCAAAAAAAACAATATATCTGCTTAATATTTAACAAAACTATCTTCCGTCTAATCAGTCAGATACGACTTACACTTACATAGGCTAAATCCATGGATGCATGGAAGATAAATCAAATGTATTGCCAGTTTTTGAACACACTCTACATGTTGCACATCAGTCACTGCCTCACAGTCATCCGCATGTATTAGATTTGAACGAAAAAATTAAGGCTCAATAAAAATCTCGATACTTTCTTCTCATTATCACATATTTTATGAATCAAATATGCTAATGCGATTCGCTTTTATCTTGTTTCATAATAATTCACCAATGAATATAAAAGTCTTTCATCTTTATTATCATAACAAACAGAAGCAAATGAAAAACCTATTAGTTCAACCTTGAGCTAAAACGAACTAAATCAATAAAAAGCAAATATTGGAAAAATTTATATCGATCTAGAGCAAGATTTGTTGATTAGTCACTTATAAAAAATAACTCAACATCAGAGAGTACATTTAATGAACTGATTAAAATGACGTAATGCATAAAATAAACTCTTGCCAATAATTGTATCGAATACCGTGCAAATAAGAAATGTCAAAAAGAAAACCATAAAAAATTTGCAAACCACTTTCGTCTTATCTAAATGATATAAACATATTATAGAAGAGCAGAATCATTGAACAAAACTTTTCATTGATGTTATTACATTTTTTGATTATACATGGTAAAAACATTCAAAAATAGACCTTTTATAGTTCTGAATAGGTAAGATTTCAGGTTTTTCACATAGAATTTTCCTTTAATAAATTGGGGATGAATTACATTTTTCAATATCATAGGTAGATAAGTCGGATATGTTTACTACTTCCTAAGAACATAAAATAATATATATGCAGAAAAAAAGATATTTCGTTTGTCCAAGTCCACTTACCACTCGTCTACATTTTCTTGTACGACGTAGAACCAAATGGTTGGAATAATTGTATATGTCTATGCATAAAAATACAATCTTATTCATATCACTATAACTGTTGTCTATTTCTCTGTAAATTTTGAATTTATGTATATAAAATGACAGTTATCATTTATTTATTGAAATCGATGATAATTGTTTTGATAAAAAAAAAACTCATAATTTACCAGACTTTGATTTTAATGAATTTTTCATACTCACTCTTTTATCTAATATAACAAATTTAGAGGCGTATTATTTGGATCGTATTGGTTAAAATCAACAAATAAACATTTAGAAGAATTTTAGATGAGAAAATAATATACGATTGAACAAAGAGTAGGATTGATCATTATTTTAAGTAATCATTTCCTATTTTCTGGTATTTAGAACTAATGAAGTATCATAAACAACAATTCAGTCATTGTACATTAAGATTATAATACACGTGATCTTAACAGATATTGTTATACAGCCAAATGTTGATTATTATTTATTATTAAACATATCAGAAATTAATTTAGAAGTATAGATAATTTTAATGTATAATGATCGAAAGCTGCTGCTGCTAAACGGTGGACGATCTTATTTACATGATGTTAATAACAAGTCCTAATACACTTCAGGATTATTGAGATTCCTGTCATATTCTTCTTCGGAAATATTCATGGTACTTTCATTATCTTCACTCTATTACACACCCACACCCACAAAAATCGATAATTGATCCTATTGTTCAAAGTGTAATATAGTTGAGTTAAGATCAGATTTCAAAATTTATATTCTTGCCTTTTATTGAAGCATAAAAGTCAAATAAAATAGTCGAAATTCATTTGCAAGCTATCAACCAACTACATGTGAAAGATATTTTGACTAAAATAAATCACTTATCCCCTTCATACATGTATCGTAGAAGTTTGTATTTTTTCGTCGTAGATGCTTTTCAAACTGTTTTCCAATAAACTAGGCGATGAAAAAGCAGTACAAGATCATTTATTTCAAGAAAGTGGTCTTGACTCCACGAATATATCCATATAGATGTCTACTCTCATATTTTCAGATAATTAATTCAGATTTAGAATTTTTTATTATAAATAAACAGATTTTATAAACAGACATCAGATAACAATTGTTCATTGGCTGAAAACGACTTATTGTCATCCGTTATCAACTTAGACAATAAAAAACGCACCATTGTGTTTATTAACATTAGCGGTAAAATTTCAACAAGCCAGTATAAATATATAACTAACTATTGACACTTGAATATTAACATGAACCATTCATTTGTTCAATTAAGAAATTTATCTGATGGAATATTTCTGATTGTTTTTACGAAATTCAACACAATCGATGCATTCAATTCTATAATGAGTCTAAGTAAATGGTTAGACAAAATTCTACAAATTCATGATAAAATCAGATGGCTTAATCTTGAATTATTATCTATGAAACGTATTCTTGTCGCGACCAATTATTTTAATTTATGTAGACTTGGCTTATATAATATTCATGAGATTACAGCTACATATCTATTTTTACAGTAAGAAATTCGATTTTTATTAAATTCATATAATTAATTCGAGCATTAAAAACTCTGTTTACTTCAGAATACTTTTGTATAAGATTTAGATTTTGTTACGAATATAAATAAGAGCAAAATTGCTAATAGAGAAATTAATAAATATTAGTAAATGTAAACATTATTTTCTTTGATGTAACAATTTGTGGAACATAAGTATTTATTCTTATTATAATCAAAATATTTTCCTGAGAATGTGATGATCGACAAAAAAACGTTTTTTGTTTTATTGCTACTTACTAAGATTAAAATTTTATCCAGCCAACTTAATATTGAGTATTTACGCGATAAATAGTTACTATTACATTTTCATCGAACTCAGACAAACGTCTCTGTTACTTAAGACAATCGTTTTAGTAAAGTTGATAGATTTATTCATTTGCAGCCATTTGACTAGTTTCGAATCAGTATTCTCCTTGGCTCAAACATATCAGTGAAGTGCTTAACGAACTGAGATGTCGAACCTATACGCGTTAATTCTTCTTTTACTAACACAAAATATGTAATATGAGAAATGTCTAATAGATGATGGTTTCTTTTCAAAGGTATTTGCTCATCAGAGAATCGCTAAGACTTATTTATTTCTACGTGTTAGATAACACATTTCTTTGGCTATCGCTCGATATCTTTTCTTTTACTTGGTTCTTGGTTGGTAGGATCAAGAGAAAAATCGAAAAGGTTAAAATTGAATATGATTAGTTGTTTTTCTCATTCATTTTGTATATTTATTTAGGCAAATATTCTATCTTTTATATTTTCAAATTAAATACATTTTGACAATGTTCACTAATTTATATTATTTAAAGTTTCAAGCGTCTTCAATATTTTCTCAACAAATATCATTGAATACTTTACCTTGAAAAATTATATTCTTTTCAATTCTATTAGAATTACATGTTAATTTGAAAAATTTCAGTGAGTATCTTTATTTGCTCGATGGTCGTTGTAATGAACTTCACAGATTGTTAATATTTCGGATATTCGTTCACATTGAACAATCAATAATAAAGTAAATTTAAATTAAAATGTTTTTCATTAACTTGTGATGTGAATATATATCTGTGTGTGATGAATTTATTGTGCCACTTTTACAGCGTATGTCAAATTTAGAAAAACTTGGTTTGTATCTACTAATTGAACATTTATTGATGGTACTGATTTGAAGTCTAATATTATTAATTATTTATTATATTTAAAAAAAAATTTCAATTTAATAGTCATTCATTTATTTCTATGGATAATCGAACTATTTCTTATGTTAACTAATCCAATATCACAAAAATTATCAATTGTTCAATTTCTCTATCTTACTAAATTAGATCTTGATAATGCCCGTGATAATTATATCGAATAATTTTTAATTGATACAAAAAACATTTTTATCAAATAATATTTTATTTAATATTGCTTACTATCAATTGAAGTAAATAACCTACAATTTTACAAGATAAGCAATACGAAATAATTGTGATAAATTGGCTAAAATATATCTTAATAATGAATCAGATATTCCAATTAAATATAAAAGACATTTATAGATATTTGAACTTGCTGGTTATATTTTTCACTTCACGAGAAAAAAACCGCAAAGTAAAATTAACTATGTGCTGTGAGATACTAATATTCTTCTCAGAAAAATGATAGTTGCTTGGAAATGATTGCATTTCAGTAAGTTCTAACCAATATAAGATATTTTAGACAACATTATCATATTATGATTATTCTAGACTGCTCAAGAAGTATTAAACAAACAATTGAATATTATTAACTATATTGAGCAAACTGATAGAATATGACTTGTTTTCTTATTGAAATTGTATTATTCAATGAAATTAGGTCGATTTTGTAACTAGCTAGAGTTAAGATAGTTTGGAATAAAATTGATCTTTTAAATGACAAATATCATTTTTTATATTGATATAATAATTTATTGTTGTTTATGTAAATGAAAAATTATCAATGTTTAATTATTAAATTTTCTTATAGATAGCAATGGAAATGTTTCCATTTCTTAGTGCTTTTTTACGTTTATATGCAGACAAATACGAACATCCTAGAGAAAAATTAATCGTTTTGGTTCATTGGACTTTTTTAAGTAAAGAGTTTTTAATTGTGAAGGATGATAAAGTAAGAAACAGTTTTTTTTTTCCATCACAGTTGACTATCTGTTTTTTAGGATAATGAAATTATTGATTGGGTAAAAAGCGAGAAAAATTCAATAAATATTCATTATTTTCGAGACGATTTGGTCATACAAACTGAACAATATTTTGATGATGAAAATTTTTTTATTCAATTCAAGATGGAAAGTATCAGATATAAAATATTATCTTCAATTCTTTTTCTTTTAATTTCTAGGATGAAAATAATCAATTACTTTTTCAAGTACCATTAAAAGATTATTTCAATCATACTGATGGGTAAGATTGATTTTTTTCTTTTTTTTCTTTTTTATTAGATCTCATCTTATGGATAATTTATTGTAACAAAAAAATATTCTTTTTTTTTGTATAGATCATTAAAAGATATTGATGATTTTATAATAAAAATAAGAAACGAAATTTACGCATTTTCACAACGAAAACAACAGATCGATAAAAATAAAGAAAAACAAATGCAACAACAATTAAAGTAAGCATAACAAAAAATCAATATTTAATATTTGGTTTTTTGTTCTTTGTAGAAATGATATTCAATTATAAATTTCATCATCATTGTGATAGAATAAATGTTGTCTATCTTTTATTTAACAATAAAACTTAATAAAAAATTGCATCATCATTTAGATATAGATAAATATATACTAATATAACAATTAAATGAGCGTTAGGATAGGAATAATAAAGATTATTTTATCTTTAACTAGATATTTTTAATTAGATTACTTTGGCTTCTATCTTAGATTTAAAAAAATATTTATTTTCTCTTTCAATATTACTGTTATATATATATATAGGTTTTTAACAAAAGATATAGCATTCTTAATGACTTTGAAACTCTTGAAGATTAATTTAATAGAAAATAATTATATATATTCCTTTTTTTTGGAAATATTCAGTCGAAAATTTTTCAAATAGGAGTTAAATCGATAAATTCTATTTAATCATTTGTGACAAAACGAAAAGTAGACTTTCGAAAAATTCTATGCACATATTCATGTGTTCGATTTGATTTAATTTATAAAATCATTTTTTATCAGAAAATGTTGTATTTAAATTGATTTTTAATTTGAAATAACATTGATCAAATACAAATATCATTTGATCATACATTTAATTTTACATCGCTCGAAAGAACAAGCAATATTTTATAGAATTTTAGATATGGTCCATATATACAGGACGGATAAATAAATGGAACGATAAATCGTTGGATGAGTCTGATGATATTTAAGGTTTGAAACAGTTCCAAACTTCAGATGGGTTGAAGGAACAGTCGAGGCCAATTACCGCACAGGTTAGCCCAAGTCTTTTGATCATCGAGACCAGAAAATACCGGACTAAGTAGGTATAACGTTCGAGTTTCTCGTAGCTGCTTAAAGATCACTGCGCGAATTCCCTGTTTGGTGCGTAAATGCAACAGCGATAGCTGTATCGCAAAACCAATTGCTCGACAGAACTGAGGCATTGTTGCATCTAAATATCGATAAGTACACAAATAAATAATTTGTCATAGAACACATCAAAGATTCACGGGACAATGAAAAACTATCCCATTAAATGTTGCTGGAAGCCGTTCAGGACCTGTCTTTGATCCCGTCTAATCCTGTAAACATGTTTTTCTCAAAAAGTCAATATCATACACATATATTTACTCATGCTACGTCTGAACAGTATTTCCTAGCGAATGTGGGGTGTGAGATTCACTGACATGCATACGCACACCCACACGCCACACTCACACCCACCCACACCCATACATCCACACACCCACACTATCTACTGTCCATGTAGAAATATCATGTACTCCATTATTTTTTGAATAATTTAAGAAAGCAAACAGTTAGACATTTGCGGTTTTCACCGATCGAAAGAGGAGACTGGGGATCTTCTTGGGCCCTAATTTTGTGTTAGACGAAATTATTTCAAAATCAATCATTTCTGCAAAACATCGAAAAAATGTGTAAAAACGGTCTATCATTAGTGAAATTTCGACAAAAAGTGAGAAAATTTGCGTAAAACTTAAAAATTTATAGTTGTTGTGGAAGTAAATAGACGATTTTACTTGTTCAACATTCGGATGTGAGAAAATAATCATTCAAATTATATCTTGAACTATAAATTTGAAGTCTCTCTATCTAGATCACCTGTCAAAACTAAAATTTCATCGAAGTGACGGATCAGTCTCCTCTTTCGATTGGTGAAAACCGCAGGTCTCTAGCCGTTTGCATTCTCGAGTTATTCAAAAAACAGTAGAGCACATTATATTTTGAAATGAACAATAGGTGCGATATACTAAGCCATCGTACAGTAACTTCTTATTTTATAGCTTTTATCTCTTTGTTGTAGAGTTTGATTTAAACTGACCTAGGCCAAGAAGATAGTGCCGAACTAACATCATGTGACAAGACAGTTGAGGTGAAAACTTACGCTTTTAACCTAACAACACAATTGCTTGCATTGTGTAATTGAATACGGCATGTAGTTAGCATAAACCTGGCTGATCGTGCTCAAAAACATTCATATGACCAGTTTGAGTATGGATGAAGACAAATTTCAAAGTTCTAATTCAATATATTCAGCACTAAAAAAAGACATCATCGTTAGTATCGCTCTTGTCTGAATCACAATCATCGTAATCCAGTAGAAGATTACTATCACTGTTCAATGTATTTCATGTGAATTGATGATTCTCCTTCTTTCTTCTCTCTTTTTTTCTCTTTAAGTACGTTTTCATGAGTGCCGACATTGGTGAAGATCCGGTTGAACATATTATTAAAAATGTAAGCAATACCATTGAGACAAATTGTCATCATCCAAGGCTTTGATAAAATTACTACCTCGATCTAATACTAAAATAATACCATGAATTGAAATGTCGAATCGAAAACGTTTGAGAGCAGCTTTGATTGTCTATTGTGAGAGACATAGAGTCGAAATAAAAAAGTATATACTTGACAGAGCAGATGTTTGTTTTATACCTACGCAATAGTATGAACCCACTTGTCGATTTCAATATACAGTTCAGAAGAGAGATCGACTGTATCAAGCTTATAATTACTATTAACGAAAGAAGCTGTTAATTCAAGATAATAATTTTCTGTTTGAATCTGTTGCTCCACATGTCTCAGTTACTTAAAAGCGTTCCTTCTTTTGCTGCTTGGATCAATTCGATCTTTAACTATTCACGAACTTCGCTTGCTTGTCATCCATTTTTTCGGGTAATTATCGGTCTCCATGGTACAATATCATTGGCAGTTATACGGCTGAGAAATGACTCTACAAACATTGAAATGAAGACATTGAAAAATTGATGATAAATTTTAAGTTTATTTATCACTACTTCAGTTAAGACGTTGTTGAATGGCAGTAAGGAAACCTTTATCTTAAACAATACTGATCGGACGTGCATTTCCACAATTAAACCGGGTAGAATTAATGTGGCTGAGACTAGTCAGTGAAGTGTCACTAGATGAAGTTAAGGACAAGTTAGAATTAAATGAAAGCATGGATTTCAACTGTTCCTTTGGACATTTGTGTTCAAGCAGTGGTTCTGCAGATTCATGAATATATACATATGTCTTGTAGCAAGCTCGACATAATGCAAAAGTCTTGATAATAGTATATTTATTGTTTTCAACTTTGGTCGCTGGTAAATTGAATTGCGATCAACATGATAATCGATTGATCTGTTTTGATTTCGTACTATCGACGACTGTGTATTTCTATGGTTCTTCTTTTAGCAACATTTTATTGTTTGTGTTATACTTGCTGTGATCGGAGGAACGCTGCATAAATAATATTCATACACTTGAGGATAGATGTATATTGTTTGACATTGAGACTGGCATTGAAGTAACTGGTGTATCAGGCAACATGATTACGTGACAATCAGATGATGCCGCCGGTGGGTGATCGGTAAAGAGCGCAAGAAAGGGAAAGAGAGAGAGAACAATGAAAAGTGAAATGATCAGACTATGAACGAAGGAAAAGTGAGGACAAAGATAGTATTACAAAGTGAAGAGATAAGAGCATGAACACAGTGGAATTATGTAATACGAAGAAAACGGTGAACAAAGCGGTCAAAATACATTTAAAAATGAGAGAAGAATATAATACAAAGAGAAAAAGAAAGGAGAGCAATACATTGTAAAAAGCTTGTCAGCGTAACCTCTTTGACACTAAAATGTGGAACTCACATATGCTGTGTAAGCTAGAACACAATCTAGTATAATCTGTTGCAAGAGAAAAAGTATCCGTTAAGCTTTGGCGCCTTCTCCCCCATTGCTAAAGGAAATGGATTCAATAGTCTGTAAAATACCTCTCCCGCAGGTTGCTATGGAAATGTACTCGTTGATCTCTGTCCGTGGTTGTTATGCACAATGGGAGGTAGAGGAGTGGGAAAACTTCGCCGTACAACTGATACTCTTCATTTTCCTTCGTAAAATAGGTTAGTTCTACCAAAAAAGGGAGCGTGACTATATCGGCCGGAGAGTGAGGTATGAAAAACAGGGAAGGGCACAAACACAACGAAAAGCATATATATAGCTGCGCGTAACATGCAGAGGACGAATATATGCACTTCTGATCACTGACAAAAGACGCAGAAAAAGAGAAAAAAATGTGCATAAAAAGAATAAAAGAAGTGATGATATAGATAATTGAAAAGGTTGGTGATGAATCAATGTGGTCGAAACGACCGATGGTTACAAGCAATAACAGTCAGAAAAACAAGACGAACTCGTGGGAAAGAAAAGCTCGTCGAAGAAAAATAATTTAAAATGTGTAGATATAATAGTAGACTTATGTGTACCAAAGAATATTGTAGCGATATAAACACTCAGATAAAATTGAATAGATTTAAAGTACAGAAAATTTTTATTAAACTTTTAAATACAACTAGATTTTATCAGAAAAGAACACTTTGGTTTGAGTGAGAGTAAGATGCATTTCGAGAGAAAGTTTAAAAATGAGTTCGATTTAAAGATGAAAACAAAGAGATGTTTTTGGCTTTATAAGACGGTAGACACTATACATAGTTATAGCCTCGTTGCTTCGATAATTTGCTCGTTAGTTACGATATTTGAAGATGCACGACAGCAACAACTCAAAATTTTTAGCTTAATCCGTTTAACTATTTCTATTTCATCAAATAGATTCATATAAACATTTGAAGGATAAATATAGATAAAGAATGTGAAGACTAAAGGCATATATAGTAGGAAGTCAAGAGCAATATGTAAACGAAGATAGAATTTTTGTAGACCTTTCTCTATGTAATATTTGCCGGCAATGACTAACAATAAATTTTCTGGAAGCGTACAAATGATAATAACTAGGGGTGGTATAAAAAAATCTTTGTGCTTCAAAATTTGTTGCATTATTAGTGATTGCCATGAAGTTCTTTCTAGGTCAGTGAAAGTGATTTTATGATGAATAATATGTGTTAATGTGAGGATAATTGATAAAAAACTTAATAACAACGGTATCACAGCATCTATGTATATACTACCCATCACTTCGTAAGCTGTTTCTAAGTTTTCAGTTGAAAAACGATTCCGTAAACAGACGTAGGATATCGTTGAAGAGGCAGAACTTCTACTACCAACACGTCCAAAAGCTTTTATTACGTTTCCTAAACTAAGGAATAGGAATAGCATAATTAGAAAAATAATTGAATACTTCCGTGTACGATAAAGACTATAATAAAAAACTTCTATTAATACACGCTCAACAGCTATAAATACACTAAGCCATAGACACATGTCATATATTAGATGACGAAATGTTGGCATGAGAGTACAATATATTAGTGGATGTTTGTTTAGCTCATTATTATAAAATAATGTTATAATTGCAAGAATTTCTATGAGTACTATGGCAATAAAACTAAAGATAGAATAAAGTATTAGATAGAGTCCACACACTGTAATACGTATTTTTCTTATAAAACATGTTAAAAGAGTTAATAAATTATTAATAAACGATAGCACTGTCAGTACGGAGAATATGAAAATAAAAAAAATCTTTAATGCTATTCTAGTAGAATCTAATTCTTTCAATAGAATATCAATTAACATCGATGACGACATTGAATATGTTATATAGTAATGAATATTTTCACAAAATTCACCTCCTGTACAATCACTACAGATACAGGAATAATTTGATGTTTGATTATTCATCATACACTGTCCATTATTTAAACATTTACATCCACTCATTCTGAAATGATCATTAGAATGTGATTGAAAATTTCCGGTTATCCTCTCAGTTCAATTATTTTTGCACATTGACATATATGGAACTAAAAGTAGTGATCAGTCTACTAAATCTTTTTGTTTCTAGCAAGTTTTCAGAAACTTACTACACTATTAAAGTAGTAAATTTCATAGAATGTCTATAATAACTTGACCAAAAAAATCGGTGAGGAATTTGAAGGAAAAGTCTTATTTTCAGCTTTTATTAAAGATTCAGTGCTATCGTCTTTAAAAATTTCTCTTCAGAGGCAGTCGATTGTTTTCGTATTTTATATTATTGAACTTCTTCTTGTGTTATTTATTTAGAAAATTGATAACTTCTACAATACGATGTTCATAGACAGACGAAATAGAGCGAGGATTTCTTGAGGATTCTATGCTTTTTCATCTTTAGTTATAGTCATACCTCGAAGCCGAACAGACAGTTTCGCTTATAAAAAGAGAGTTGGCAGGTATTCTAAATAGAACAAAGCCGAGGTTTGGTTTTAGTTCTCACTAAGCAAATAAGGTTCTTATGTACTTTTCTTCGAAAGCAGATTATTGCAATTTAGTAAAAAATAATGTTTCTTCCTATCCATTGCATATATGTAAATATATATATTGGAAGAAATTTTTTTCCAGCTTGATAAGTCTCTTCATTGAGAGATTTTAACGACTGAATGAAGTCTGAGAGTGTATATTAACATGCATATTAATGCTTTCGTTTTTTACAAGCCCTAGAAAATTGCTATTTATCCTATTTTGCACGGATATGGCTGTGGGTTGGGTGTGAGTGTGCGGGTGAATGTGAGTATGCATGTCAGTGCACTCTACACTCACACTCATACTCACATCCACACCCACATCCACACCCACACCCACATCCACACCCATACCCATACTCACACCCATACATGCATCTACATCCACACCTACACCCACACTCACACCCACACCCGTAGTATGCGGGGTGTGGGTGTACCTATTTCACCGACTGACATACACATCAAAATCCACAACACATCCTCATCTCACACCAAGGGTGAAATAGTGAGACTTCATCTACTTCGGAAGTTTTTTGAAGTACGAGGAAATACCATGGAAGCAAGAGGAAGTATCATGGAAATACAAGGAAGTACGCACTCCTGAAGTCTCGCTCGTTCCTCCTTGTCCCATACCCATATCTCATCCGAGAACTGTTGAAATCATTTGATAGATCAATGAATTCTCAATATAAAAAAGATTCCATCTTTGGTGCCATGTTTCATGAATTGGTGTGCCCCTAGAAAAATGTGACCAATGATTTGGAAAATCGAATACATAAACTATAGAATCAGTTATTCAAACTTTTAAGCAATACTTAAACAAATATGAGAATACACAAAAAACTTCGGGCATCCATTCAAGTGAAAACATTACAGAATCGATATAGAACGCCTACACTGAACTTTTGATTACTTGACGCATTGTTTGAAGAATTAAATTTAACTTCTTAAGATAAAATTACTGTATCGCAATTAACATTCTAAAATTGTCACCGCTTTTCTTGGAGGAGCAAAACAATAGAAGATTTTCCAATTTAAAAATCTCATATCTTTGTTAATATCCATTCGTCTCGAATAGAAATGTGCAGAACCAACAATTTTTGGTTTTGGTCCTGATTTAGAGAAGCCTATTTCGGAATTTATTCCTAACATTTTTTTAAAATTGTTCCACGAGGAAACCGATCTCTTTAAGTGACTTTTTTCGATTCCATTGGAGTTTTTGCCTGCAGATACTACATACTTTTCTAGTACAAAACCCACAAGGATTTGGCTAAGCTATCACAATTGTAAGGTCTATTTTCGAGAGACCCTGGGTTTTTGAAAAATTCATACTTTTAAATTCTGATCTGAAGCTTTAGGCATACGAAGACTTTTATTAGACTTGTTCTCATAAAAATTTCAGTAGTTGGCATCATAATATCTCAGAGATATGAAGTTTTCAAAGTATAATTTCTTTCCTACAGATATGGTATAGAACATGAATTTTTTGACAGCTTCATATCTCGAAGAGACTTCACGTTCAAAGCTTGTAAATTTGCATTATTTTCCTGTATTTTGACAAAATTCTAATGAATATTTGTGGTTTTCTTCATTCAATTTATAATTAAATCTCATTACTTAATATTTGAACGGTAGCGTATTAATAAATGACTGTTTTTATATGTTTCTTAGTATTCATCACAACATTCGAATTTATTTTCATTTCATCATCGAAATTTAAATCTATCACTATGTTTTTGAACGAATTCATCAATAACACACTTGGATCATCATCGTCATTTAAATCGTATTTATCAACCACGACTACGATCAGTTAAAATATCATCAAAATTAATTATAACAAATAATAATGATGAAACGAAACAAATGTCGAATAAAATTCTTGAACAACAACGTTTTAATTATGTTCGTACACCGAAATTTATTCTTCAGCAATCATCTCGTTCAAATCATTAGTAGAATACAAAAAAAAAACAAGAAACCTCATCTTTTCTCAGTATTACAATAAACAAAAAACATTAAAAAAACTAATGTGTATATAATCTTGCTCGTGTCATTCCACTTTTCTGTTTTTTTTCTCTATCCATATTTATATAATAAACATGCGCATTTATCCTTGGATTTGTTTATTTTGTTTTTTTTTATCGACTTTTTTCCACAACAATGTATTTGTGTATATACGAGTATACATTTTTTTTCTTCGTTTAACTAAGTTCTTCTATTTTTTGATGTTGTCGTTTCAGTATTTTGTACAGTTTCGATAGAATGAAAAATATATAAAAAAAAAGAAAACGTTCGTTTTTTTCCCGTCTATTTTCTGCTGTTTGTCTGTATCTTTTTAGCGTTTTTATCAAGCCAGAGTCTATAGACTGATGAATATATTTATATATTTCATTGCATACACACATGTGTTTTCTACTTTTAGTGCTTCTCTTTTTCGCTTTTCATGTGTATCTGCATATGCAACATTTTTTTTTCTACGGTTCAGTGTGTAAGAATGAAAGAAAAGAAAACGAATGGTGAATTGTCATTGAAATAAGAACATGATGTTGTGAATAAACGAGTTTAATAATGCTTTGGTTTTTTTTGCTCTCATCTATGGCGCATTCGAAAGACAATATAACTAATAATTATTCTAGATTTTTGTTAGAGGTAGATAATACCATTAGTATTGTATCAATGGAAATAAGTACTGTACATCATCACGGTGAATATATTTGCATGTCTACAAGGACAGACAAAAAAATGCTTAGTAATGTATACGATTGGTCTGTTTAGAGTCAAACCCATTGCCGTTTCATTCATCGATCGAGGTTACAACAACAGTGAATCACTCAGTAGTCAACAATCGGATTCCTGATGATCATGAGCGAAAAACTCATTCTATATTAGATACGCTTCTTGTGCCACTACATTTATTAATACTATCTCAACATACAATTCGTTTTATTGCATTATCTGCACAAGTTTTTTTATATTATCTAAGTTGTGGCTATTTACAAGTTCGTTGTATTAACATTAAATACTAAATATTTATAATTATCTTTATTTTAAGGAACTTCTATTTACATTGGAAGGCTTCAAAAATACATCTTGGTTTTTATCATGTTATCAATTTCTTATTTATGGTGTTCTTTCATTTATTCAAATTGGTTTTGCTGGATTAAGTCAACGAAGGTATTTTATATTTTGGAAGTTTTACTTTTTTTTCGAAACTATTTTTATTTCTAGAGCAAGTTATCGATCTTATCTAATTCTTCCCATACTCACTGTAGCTGCAATGGGTTTATCAACTCATTCAGTTGGTTATTTGAATTATCCGTAAGAAAGCATTATAATTTCATTTTAAAACATTAAAAATTTAAATATATATTCGTTTAGTACGCAACTTATGTTTAAATGTTGCAAATTAATACCGGTACTTATTGGTGGCATTGTTATTCAAAGTAAAAAACTAAGAAGAAATCTAAAAAGAAATAAAATTTGTTTTTCTTTCATTAAGAAAAAAAATTTAATCGTTATGATGTTGCTGCTACTTTTTGTATGTCGATTGGATTAATATTTTTTACTTTAGCTGATTCAAAAGTTCGACCAAATTTTAATGCATACGGTATAGTTAATATAGAAACAAAAGTAACAAAAAAAATTTTATTCGATAAAAATCATTATTTTTCAGGTGTAATTGTTGTTTGTTTGGCTCTTGTTGCTGATGCAATTATTGGTAATTATCAAGAAAAAATTATGAAAATATATCATGTATCAAATGTCGAAATAGTAATATAAAAGAAAGAAAAAGTCTTATTCATTTTTATTAAACTATTCTAATTATAATTATTGTAGGTATTTTATAGTTTTATGTTTGGTTTTCTCATCATTTTGTTTGGCTTGTTAGTAACAAATAATTTCTTTTCAAGTATCGCTTTTTGGAATAAGGTTTTTATGTTTTGTTTATACTAATATATATTTATTTTCATGTAGAATGATTATATTAGTTAACAAATAGATATCAGATCAATTTGTTCTATGATAGAAGTACAAAAAATTCCGTTGGAAACATCAGCTCACATAGAAATGAATGCATTGAACAAATAATTTTCTGAAGATGCATTGACAATTTCCTTTGATTAGATTTACCTGCTTATTAGAGGAGTGAAAGATTTTCCTAACTTGTCAGATAAAGAGAAAAGTAGAACAGGATAGAGTAAGAAAATAAAGAATCATGGCAGAGGTATATTATTATTTACTCCATTGATTATTCTGAAATGGTCATAGAAGAATAATCATATTTAACTACATATTTTGCCCACAATTATTCTAATGGATTGATGGAAGTCAGTCATTACAATATATTATCAGACTCATGAAGGGACATCTCATGAGACCTCCCTTCCGTTTTTAATGATTTCTTACCTATATAGTGTTCTAATATAAACTCTGAAAATGTTTATGTTCCTATTGAGAATTAACTAAGGTATACAGTTTGATTACCTTATTTTTGATACTTTTGTGCAGTTTGCTGTGTTTATTCAAAACATCAAAGATTCTTTATTTTGACATAGTCGGTTAGAGCATCAATTACTCTATCGAATTATATAGTTTTTATTTTACTTATTTTACATCTTGGCGAAAAATTTGATTAAGTTGGCGGATGAATGAAACACAACTTTTGCACACTCATAAGTCAGCGACAGTAAGCTGAATGATAATGAAAATTACTTTAGATAGAAGAGATCGATCACAATTTATCGTGCAAAAAAACAATTAGATAAAAATGATTTGAAATTAAGAAGAAAAGTAACATTGACTGCCAAATTTTGACCCATTTTTATAGCAGTGAAAAGCCGAGTTTGTATTGCTTTTTTTTGCGAAAATCTACTTGCAAGACTTCAGGCAAATCTGATCAAAGGTGTGTAAATCGATAAAGAAATCAACGATCTATCCAGGTACATGTCAAAGAAAAGAAGACTGGGTATTAAAGAAACAAAATTTCTCCAAAAAAAGCTGAAAACCATGCATGAAAAAGCATTCACAAAAAAGTCTCTAAGAAATTCATTATGTTTAAGGTAGAAATATGGAATAAGTTCATGAAAAACAATATATATTTCGATATAGAAACGAACGGTCTATTATTCAATATAAGCTTAGAGGTTTCAGTACGCTAATAAATAATAGTCCTGAGGCAAATTATTTCAGAAACTATCCGGAATTCATTGGATAAAAAGAACAGTTTTGACTATTTTTCAAGATTTATCAAATTTTTGTACTAGAAGCAAATGAAACAAAGATGTAAACTATATGTTTCGATAGAGTGATCAATGGTCTATCCAACTGTATCAAAATAAGAAACCTTCAACGCTTTGTATAAATATAACACACTGCATGACTACTCATCTGCTCATTTCTTTCCGTCGAACTAATCAACGGAAAGTAAATCCTCGGCAACAAAAATCATAATTTTCTGTAAAAAAAATCCAATTAAAACTGAAAATAATCAACGGAAAGTAAATCTTGTCAACCGTTTAATAGATTCCTATCTTGCCATATTAAAATCTATTGAATTAAATTATTATTCAGTATTGAGTAATTAAAATGAAATTGTTCTTTAGCATCCTCTTCGAACGTATGGTTATGGTTTACTGTTTTCCATCTTTGGTTATTTGGGTATCGATATCGTTTTAAGTATGATTAAAGAATATGGTGCATTAGTCTGTGTTACTGTGACAACATGTCGAAAAGCTATAACAATTGTATTATCATTTACACTTTTTTCAAAACCATTTGTTTTCGAGTATGAAGAAGTTTTTTCCTTAATTATTATATTGAGTTTTTCATTTCTAATTTTTTTTTAGTTATGTTTGGTCCGGTTTAATTGTTGTTCTTGGTATCTATCTCAACGTTTATAGTCGAAATCAAGCAGCATTTAATGCTAAAATAGCATCGTATACTAATAGACTATTAAGTTTATTTCGATAGCCAAAATTTTCAACATCGACTAAATCTCGAGCATTACCTATTTAATTAGTTTAATGATATTCAATTTTTTATATTTGAAAAAGCTACAACAAAATTTATCACAAACTTTATAATAAATGGATTATAATAGATAAAATATAGGTTGTATTTATATTAATGAGTTTTAAGTGTATCTTATATCGTTCACGAATTCATTAAAAATTTAAAATGTTAGAAAGCATGAATAACTAATATATAAAGAAGAGGATGGATGTGGGTGTGGGTATGTACGAAAACAATATTAAGACCCACATCCATACTCACCTTCATGAATTTCTATTCCATAATAGACGAATCCGCGCTCACACCCTTCTGCTTATGTATTGCAAACACAACTTATATAAGAGCCGGCGCGATTATCTCTCTTAATATAACTTTTCTTCTTTCATTCATTTTTGAGATCAAAGCTTAAATTATGTAGTAATTAGATATTCAATTGTTGAATGTTGTTAAAGTCATTTTTCGAAATAACTTTATAGACATCTATATTTTAAATATTTTGCTCGAAATATAGTGATAGAAGCGAGCATAGCTGATTATGAATGAACTTCAGTTCCATTCAAAATGCATCGTATGATGGCTTGGTTTCTGCTTGAAAATTGTACACACACGTTCACACCCTACCCCCAGGCTGCTGGTTTGTTTTATTTTTATAACAATCATAGGCCAATCTTGTTGCAGCACGGTCATGTGAGAACTATAAATTGTCTGTTTTCCTTCACAGCTCGTCCACTTTTCATCAGTTGTGCAGAGCAGACATTGATTTACAAGCTCCAATGCTCAATTATACAAAAATACTTTCATACAACGTAGCTGTGAGAATTTTCTCGATGAGAAGAGCAAAAAGTTCAATGATGAATATATTTACGATCAATTGTGCAATCTTGAACATAGCCAATATAATAAAAAAGAAACTACTCATTAGATTAGAAAATAAAGCCAAAATGCTTAAAAAACCGATAGAAGCCTTACAGGCACAAGTTAATGTTATTCGCTTTGAGGAATCAGACAATCATTATATTCACACTGACAACAATCAGTAGAACAACAGGTAGCATACAGAGTGTGAGTGTAGGTATAGGAGTGAATGAAGAGAATGCCGACACCCACATCTACACCTTGAAGTTCTCGTTCGTACGATGAAACTGCTTTTGAGTACTGGCCTATGTCATCATACACTCCGCCGATGTTGTTTTAGGAAGTAGCCAACAAAGGGATGGTTTGGAGCGAGAGCTATTTTTTGGCTTTCAAGTGCTTTGTTGTAAAATTCAACAGCTTCACCGTATTTTCCTTGGTTATCTTTCAAGACTCTGAGATTATTATAGTAAGTGGCTTTATCACTCTTATCGAATACTTATTTCAGCAACATTGTTTGCAAGTGTTCCGTCCTGATGTGCTCACCTAATTTCCATAACAATGAACACATTCTCTTCCATCCTCTTTCAGTGATATCATCTCGCAGTCGTTTGGTAAGAGCATGAAGCCGTACGTCGTCATGTTCACTAGTGAGTGAGAGCTTAACTTGTCATATCGTCATTCTGCCCTCTTCAACTTCTCCGAGTTGCTGGACACGAAAAACTGTGTGCATTGAAAAGAGAATTTCTTTTTCTTTCTTGTAGTAACTTATTTTATCGTTGCGGGCGAACCAGAGATGTCCATCGCGGCGCTGCCGCTGCCGCTGCCGCTGCCGCGCCGCTGCCGCGGTGGCGGTGGCGGCGCGGCAGCGGCAGGTTTTTAAAAAAAATCACCGCGGCAGCGGCGCGGTAGCGGCAGATTTTTTAAAAGTCATCGCGGCAGCGGCGCGGTAGCGGCAGGTTTTTTAAAAAACCATCGCGGCAGCGGCAGGATTTTTTTGGAGGACATGGAAAAACTGTATGAATTTAATAGAATTTCACGATTTACAAATGAAACGCCCTGATATTGAATAAATCTGATGGACTAGTACCCATATCTCTGGTCAAATATAGTCACAGCAGTGAAATTAGAAACACTTTTTTGAAAACCGTCGCGGCAGCGGCGCGGTGGCGGCACGTTTATTTTATAATTCATCGCGGCAGCGGCGCGGAAGCGTTTCTTTTATAAGTCATCGCGGCGCGGCAGCGTCGCGGCAACATTTTTTTATAAACCGTCGCGGCGCGGCAGCGGTGCGGCAGCTTTTTTTTTCTAAGGCCGCGGCGCGGCAGCGGCAGATTTTCAGCCGCGATGGACATCTCTGGGGCGAACGGAGCCGATGAAATCGTTCGATTTACAGTCATGCCGAAGATAGCACGAATTGTGTTGGTTCCAGAAAGCGCTTTCGAAATAAAGCGAATGACTACCTTTAGATCATCACTTGTTAATAGGAAATTATTGAATGCGATGAGTCTACCTTGTTTAATTTTATTTTTAAAAATCTTTCTAGGTCACGAATTGACCGCGGTAGGCTTTCATAGTTGTTTCACCAAAGATTTCATTCGGCTGTTGTGAATATAGCTTTTGAATGTTTTGATGAAGATCTCGAATGAAGATGCCCACTTTCAGCAGAGCTTCGATTTGTAAAGTAAGGCGTGCTTTGTTAAGCATTTGGTATGTGAAACATTCCCGAGTGTACCATCAAATAGGCTTATTGTTTTCATCTAACTGACTTTGATAGTCTCAAGCGAATTCATCTATAATGTTCAAGCGGTTTCCGTTTCAGGCATATTTTGGGTGTAGGTGTGTGTACGTGTGCGTATGCGTATGCATGCCAGTGGGCTCCACACCCACACCCACCCACACTCTAGTTAAACATTTGAATTATTGATATTTTTCTAGTAAATATTACTGAAATTTCAATCATAGCAACAAACAGTTTCTTCAATTTATTTCTATAAGGTGTGATGTCTTATATGTTAGTATTATTTTATTTTATTGATCTTGTAATGAATGATGAAATGCAAGAATGAAATATTCATTTGTTAGCATAAAATGCTTTGGAAAAAACTAGCTATTCCATGGTTTTTCAAAGACTATGGTAAATAGCAAACAAAAAAAACATTCACACAACAAAGTCTTTTTATTGATGGCGAAATACAATTTTCAATAAGATGGATGCGTCCATCTAAAAAAGATACGAAGAACTACGTTCATCTCCTAAGAGTAAAGGCAAATATTTTTTTCTTCTTTTTGTTGATGTCATTTTTGTTTTTTTTCTCGGTTGTTAGGAGAGTATGTTTTATTTGTTATTGACAGATTTCTCATTGTTTATCTCGAGAGTACTTGCCAAGGCACACTTACATCGTCATCGAAGAAGGAGAATCGAAGAAAAAAACCTTAAATGAACTATTGTTGTTATAGGGAATATGTACAGACTAGCCGCAACTAGAAGCAAAATCACGTGTTTGGAAAAGATGGATTAAATTTAAAAAATAACACAGAAAATATTTCTTGTCCAGACAGACTTTTTTCTAAATGAACAAATCATAAAATAAATAGTTCTTCTTAAGAATTTTACTTTCTCTTAATAGTAATTCTAATGATGTATAATGAATGAGATGAATGATTGTAGTAGTAGATGATTGTGCACAACAGATATGAAAGTATAACATGCTCATGAGAATTTTATTTAGGATTATAAATAAATAGGTCCATGTTGAACAAAAGTTAATGAATATTTAGAATGGAAAATATGTTTGATAATTTATTTATAATCGATCATGAATACAGATATTTTTCTTTTTCTGTTATTCAATAATAGTGATGACTATTTAATGACTGTCTCATATAAAGATAATTTTATATTGAAATGGAGATATGTTTTGTTTTGAAATTTTAATCATAAATAGAATTTGGTATATACTAATCGTTGCAAAAAACCCAGATCAAACTATATTACTTTAGTTAGATTGAATAAGATTTTGTACGTACGTAAGTCATCATGTTTGACAAGATTATATAATAATATTTTTCAATGATCATACAAAAACTCAATCAATAAAACTGTATTCATCAATTTTATATGGTTGTAAAACAGATAAAAATTTTCAAATAGCTGAAATTTTGCTATATTGTATTAAAAATAAAGAAAACCATCGATAAATGACGTCGAGATAGAGATCACATTAGTTTATCTCCTTCCTAGAGTCTCAAACAAGCCATCAAGCATCCCTCGCCTGTTTATTTTTTTTTTCTTATTATGAAATATTTATCTCAAAAACTAGATATAATTTTAGAAACCAGATTTAGTTAAGTTAGTTGTCAAGGATGACATTTAAATATGATGAATTATATGATAAATTGAGAATAAATATTGAAGATAATTGTAAATAATCAGATTCACTCCCATTATGAAGAGATATCATCCAAAAGAGATAGAGTCGATAAGTTGTAAGATCTACTCTCTCGAAAGCTTTCGTTTTCTGTACATATGAGAAACAGTCACACAAGAGTTTCAAAAATGATTGCTAGTAGAATTAGTACTATTGCATTTGTTTATTCTGTCTCTAATCATTTGAAATAGTTAATAACTTTTCTGTTTATATGATCTCTGATCCTTGATGATAATTAGATTTATTTAATCATCAATATGATAGTTGATCAGACTAATTTTTATGTAGCTTGATAGATATTCTTAGCACTCCAAAATATTACGAAAGCATAGAAGAAAAATACACTGATGATTGAATGTCATGCCAGGAATGATGTTCTCAAACATGATTTTGAGTATTTTTCACTGGTAATTCATAGATTGAGTTCAGAAAAAGCACAGTTTGGTCAAAAATTAAAAATGATTTTATGAACCAATGTTTAACACTATGTAGAAAATTCAGAAGCACATTGAGAGTTAGGTGCTGCACTATGAAATAAGTTCCAACGCTGCAAAATGATACTGAAACACGATATAACATATGTCTAAACCATCGAAACATTGTTTTGACGAGCTTTATTGTTTTTACTTAGTCCTGAGGTAGACTCGAACTGATCACTAAATGAAAAAATTTTAA